AGTAATCGTAATGGTAATAGTAATAGTAACAGCAACAGTAACAGTAATAGTAACAGCAACAGTACAGGTACCAGTAACAGTAATAGTATTAGTGATAGTCATAGTGATAGTCATGGTGATAGGGATGGTGATAGTGATGGTGATCATTGTAATAGCATCAGTAACAAGCAACGAGCAATCAGTAATAAACAATAAGTAATAAGTAACAAGTAACAGGTAATAGGTAATGGGTAATAGATAATCGGCCATAAGTAATTTTCAATAGGTGATGGATGCTAGGTGATACTAGTAGGTGATAGCTAATCGGTACTAATCGGTAATAGGTAATGGTAATCGTAATAGTAATAGTAATCGCAATAGTCATAGCAATAGCAGTAGCAGTAGCAATAGCAATAGTAACAGTCATAGTTATAGTCATAGTCAGAGCCGTAGTCATACTCATAGTCACTCTTTGTCATCGTAAGAGTGAATATAAGAGCAAAGTACTAGCAACGGTAATGTTAATGGTAATAGTGCTGGCGGGGCGGGGGTGGGTGGCGGAGTAGTTGCAGATGTTAGATTTGTTGCCTTGGGTGCAGGGTCTTCCGAGCTTCGTTGCTGGTATGGGAGGCTTCCGCGTGGGAGCCCGTGGTTCGGCAGATAGTACCGGGCGGACAGACAGAGCCCTGTGCTCAGAGATCAAGCCATGCTTGTAGGAGGCGAACAGGGGCACTGTTTACATGCTGAGGTATCTTATCGCTGGAGACGACTCGCACGGTGAAGATCAGGCAGGCAGACATGGTTCGCAAGATGCGCCTGGCTAATTTATGCCAAAAGTTGAGAGATGAGACGTGTCTGGCCCCGATTACAGGAGAGGAGAACGGCACAAACGTGGTCACGACAACTGGAGTTGTGAGGGCGCAGCAAAGACACAAAAAAGCGATCAGACATGTGCTGTGCGACAGCGTGCTGCAGACTGACAGTCATGAACAGTTTTGTCACCGGGATCTGTTGATGCAGGCACAAGGAGGCTTGTGTGGCAACATGCGCAGGTGGAGATGAACATCATGCCTTTCTGCACCCTTCCGAAAGGAGTGGCGCGCATGAAGGTGGCAAAGTCGCCTGACGGCAATCCGTTTCTTGCAGTGTCTGTGCTCCTGCGATAAGCCACAAGTGCAGTCTTGCGCATCTCCATACTGCACTCAATCTCGTATCTCTGAAGGGTGAAAAACTAACATGCAGTATGGCTACTCGTGCGAGCATAGCCTGGTCTGCATCGTCCATGAGGCTGTTTCTCTTCCCTTTGGCAAGGTCCTCTGCTAGTTCGCCTGAGATCCCCCGCCGTACCTGTTCGGAGTCTGCGCTACGTTCGTTGTCGGGCCAACTTGGGACCGCTGCAATCATTGTAGATCTTGTTGTCGGTGTACTTCCAGAGTAGGCAATTGAGGTGGCAAACACCTGTGCTTCGTTTGGGCCAAGGTTCGCGTTGTCCCACATCGCGCAGTTTAGTGCCATCGAGAAAAGATGTGAGGCCGAGCAAAAGTGTCCTGTGAGAGAGACACTGCGCTCAAAAACCTGAAGAAGTTGAATCACAAAGAGAGGATCATGCAGCAACCGGTAACTGGTGTCTGCACGACATGCGATCGGCCTGTGACGCAGATTGTTGCTTTGCTTTAAAGCGATGGTCTGGGCGGTTGGTTGCCGGCGTATCTGAAACCGACGCACGCTGTGGCAGGCGCTCATGTCTGCTGCCGAGCAGGCTGAACCCTAGCGTTTTTTTGTGGGTTGCATTTCACTGCAAAGCTGTCGCTCTATGGCGCTCGGACGGCGCTGCCAGGTGCGCTCGAGCCAGAAGTTCAAAGAAATGCTCGATTTAGTTGTACGTGTCCCTGGCTCAGCATCTTGCCGTTTTTTGCAGACGGAGCCGGAAAATGCCATGCACCTCCGAAGGTTGGCAATTTTATTAACCACGGTGTGGATGAGGCTCGCGTCTCTTTAGCAGCCCTCAGGGATAACTGCAACAAACGGCGACGCTTACGCACGGTGGTCTCAGCCAGTTCCGAGTCATTGGTTGGGTGCCATGACACGAGCGTAGTAGAACGAGAGGTCATAACGTGGCAGGTCGTCGAAGGCACCATCCGCGGCGTGAGCGTCGACTCTCTCTTGACGTTAGCTTCCTTCAAAACGGGAGCTGCCGGGGCCTTGGAGCGAAGTTGATCGTGGCACTTCTTGCGCAAACTTGCAGTCGCCACGCTCTTTGCATTGCTTGCTGCTTCAGGTTTCTTCCCTGCACTTCCTTTGCCTCTCCCTTGGGGCAAACGATCCGGACTTCTTCCAGGCATTGTGTCAGATTAGCAACGCCGAGATGTCGCAAAAAAGATACACTCAGACACACCTTCGAGGCGTTAAAGCAGTCCCTGTCCAGCGTGCATGAGGCACACTTGAAACATTCGGGGATCACGGAGGGGTCGCCATCTCTCAACCCCTGCTTCCACCACAGGCTTCCAAAGAGAAAGCTTCGGCGCTGAAGTCATCCATCGAGGCTTCGTGCCGACCTTTCCCCGTCCTGTAGGTTGGGCTTCGGCTAGGAATTTATCATAAGCACGGCCAGATTTCGCGCGCACAGCCAGGAGCACTTCCAATCACTTCCGCGTTTACCCTGTTGAAACCTGTGCCCGGCTTTCGTACTTCAAACATGACTACGCTTCGACACACCATGTTTGTTTGTCGCAACATAGTGCCGTGGGAAGCGACAGAACAAGCTCTGCACGTGGAGGATTCTTACGTTGGCGCGAGCCCAGAGCTGCGGTTTATGTTCTTCCTCGAAGACGACTTGATGGAGTGGTGCCGATTGGGTGCAGATCACATCGCGTACCGAGGTGTTGGCAAAGGCACTGCTTCGACTACAAGTGTTTTTCTGACTCTGGGGGCGCGCCTTCAATGGCAGTGGTCGCATTTCCTCCGCGACAAAGAAGAAACTGATCATTCCGGGGGTCCGACCTTCGACGGTACTGAGAGGTCGTACGGTTGATGATATAAATCCTGCATCACCCATAATAGGGAATATGCCATAATTCCCATAGTTTACGGTCCTTAAGGTAATGCAGGATTTATATCATCAACAGTACTACCTGCGACAATACCAATGCAAGCTTGGCTCTACCAGCGCAAGCTCGACTTATGGATGGAGATCACTCCGCGTGAACCAGCCAGACGAGCTTGACCGTGCCAAGGAGCAGTTCACTTGTGAGGTCAAAACGCGATTTGAAGAAGCCGATGTCGATGACCTCGAGGTGTCGTTTGCCCGACGGCTCTCAGCCTGATTGGGTAATGTTGAGGTGCCAGTACCGGACCGTGGCACAAATGCTGGAGACATTGCGCGTGGGCTTGGGTTCAGATGCGCGTGGTCCACGACTTGGCGTTCTTGACCCAATCCCTCTCAGGTCTCATGGGTCGGGCAGCTCACGCATGCTCCAGGGACTGACTTCTCTCATCTCCTTTTAAGCTTGAGGGTTTGCCACCCAACACAGCTAGGATGATGTAACGGCTGCGATTAAAGGTTCGTCGATCCAGATCTTCCTTCACGGTCGTCACTTTTTTTTTCTGAATCGCTTCTGATGTGTTCCGCATGGTCGCCCATGTTTTCCCGAATTTATCTCGTGTTTTTCCCGGAATTCTTTGCTTGAATTTCTGTCGCGGTGCGACTTACTCCTCCCTGTTTGTCCCCATCCTGACGCCACGGTGCATTGCAGCGTAGCAGCGCGAGACTGCTGGACAGTTTGCGTCATACAACGTGCAAAGTACAAAGGCCCCATCCCGTCAAGCAATGCAACCCTCCTTTTGAGCACATCTCTTGCGCCAACGTGGCCGACGTGACATCGAGAGGAGGCGTTTTCGAACCACACATGAGTTTCCGAGGGTTGAAAAACCACACGACCGAAGGCTTCGAACTGGATCGGATTTCGACAGGAAGTCCGTGCACTCCACTCCCCAGTACCGTGTTGGCGTGTTTGTCGACAACTGCACACATGAGCGCCCTCAGGATTATGGGAGTGTAACGCTTGTGCTTCACAGCACCCACCCGCCTGATTTCTGTCTTCATCCGGCCCGTCACATATTTCCCGGAGAGTCTCGTGGGTTGGTGCCTGGGTATGCGATGAAAGCGCGCCCTGCCGTCTTCTCGAGCGAGATCGGATTTCCTTCACGGGGCACGATTGTACCACATCCATCAAAGCAAGTACAGTGCATGGCAGTGCGCTGCAGTAGCCCTGTTCAACGGGTGTGTAGGCCTGCTTGGCGTAGGCAAATGTTTTGCCAGTCTTACAATCGGCTGTTTTTCAAAAAGGCATCGCGAGGCAAAGGCAGCATGATGCGCAGGCGAGGCTGGAGAAAGGAAATGCAGTTTGACTTGCATCATGAGCATCAGCGGTTTGTGTGCAGTGCACATTATGAGGGTCACGGGCTTTCCGTTTTTTTCACCAGCGCTTCTGGTACCCCATGAGTCGTTTCCTAACATGGCAACGAAACACAACCCCATGGGTTTAGGTGGGGTATAGGCGCAGAGGTATAGCTCGGCCAGCGCATCTCCTGTAGACACGCACGGTCCTGTGCGCACCGTGCAGCTGCAAGCTTCATCGGGTCTGGCGCCGTTTCAAATAGCACGTTTGCAGCACGGTCCAAGAGTTGAAACAAATTTATCATGATGCTCATGATGTGGGGCCAAGCTTCGCATGAGACTCCGCACCCTGTGCTGCTCGTGGGGCGAGAGTGATCTGATGATGCCTGCACATGCCTGCACTTCGTCGGACCGCTCGGCCACGTGCAGCACGCTGAGTGCGACCAATCTAGCCTTTTCCATCCTTTTCCGGTGCACGCGCACGCCGTTTGACCGAACAACATGCTCACCTTGAAAAGGCCGCGCTGCGCCTGGGTTGCCCAGCTTTGACGCGCGGTGCAGAAAATTGCATCGGCCAGATATATCAGAGCCGGCCCCTCTACCACTGCAAGCAGCAGCTTCAAGGGCTCGGGAGGAGGTGGGAACGGGGCGGGGGCTGCATGTGGAGAAGATTCCACCGGATTCGGACCTCAAACAAGGAGGCGGCGAAGGTGGGAAACTCAAAGACATGGAGGGGCACAGGTCCTGCATTGAAGAGGGGCTGAGATTGCAGGATGAAAGGCAGAATCAGATCAATGGAGGGGAGATTCAAGACAGCGACCTGGCACAAGCTGCATACAAAAGGGCGATCGCTAAGCTCGTGTTCGCCGGGTGCGAGGAGCAGGTGCCAACCCGCTTATGCATCAACAGTTCTGCCGTTGTGCAGAAAATTTGCCAACGGTTCTATTACAGCTACAAGAGCTGAGCTTGGAAGATGCGTCTGATGTATAACTATCCCTGTGAGAAATCAAAGATAGCTTGCAAATGGCAAAATATAGTCGTCAACAAGTCTTAGCCTGAGCTGCCGGAGCAACAGATTTGCAGTTATTTTGAGCGTCAGGATTTGGCATGACTTGCAGACTTCTTAGCCGCTTTGGTCTGGGGACGTGCAGGCCTTCGGTAAAGACGCCGACACTGCAGAAAAGCAGGCCTGCCCATGTCTGAACTGTCGCATAAGAGTCCACTTTGCTATGAAGCTCTCCTGTCTGCAGTTGAATGCACTGCTGGTGCCCAACGAGGAGCAAGAGGCACTTCGGGCGCATGCTCTGTTTCGGAAGGGACGGTTGCAGCAGAGAATCCTCAATCTTCTCTGTTGGCTGCATTCCAGGCCGTGCCTCCGAGCCACGAGGCCTGCAGCTACTGTCTCCGTCCTTCAGTCCTTTGATTCTCCTTCTCTTTCTTCCTCCCCAATTTGCTCCATCTCTGTCCTGTGATTCTCCTTCTCTTCCTCTCTCTTTTTCTTCCTCCCCAATTTGCTCCATCTCTGTGCTATGTCTCTCTGGCCATCAGCGATCATCAGCTGACATATGCGGGCTTTGGAGCACTGTGCAGGCGGACCTCCGTGAGTTGATGGCCCTGCTGCGGCCATATTGTTGTCCTTTTGTTGTCCTTGGCATGAGTTCCACCATCCGGCGCATCCGCAGCTGTGTCTTTGGCCGCTCAGGTGGATGGCAGAGAAAGTCAAATTGCAAGAAATTGGCGATGAAGTCAGGGCCTAGCAATGGCACGGGGCCCCTGGGAGATGGCTGTGCACCACTCTGAGGCCTTCGACGCTTGTTTGGAGACTCAAAAGTATTACTGCGTCTCCGAGAAAGCCTTGGCCTGGCCCCAAGCGTTGCAGTAGCCATCTGCTTCCGGCAGCCTTCTCGCCTGAAGGCAAATCTGCCACCGCTTGAGACATTTTTTCTTCACATTGCACCTTGGATTGCATGGATTGCAAACATCGGATGGGTTGCTTTCATCAGTGCCTCCTCACTGCAGCCTGCTGCTGGCTATCTACAGGCAACCTTCCTGGATCAGTTTTCAGAGGCCTGGCAAGAGATCGAGAAGTCGCGGCCTCAGGAGACACCAGCAGCGTACTAGCTTATGTATATATATATATATATATACACACACGCACAACAGGAATGTGGTTTTGGGACATAAAAGCAGTAATCGTACAGTATTTGGACCGTAGTCTTTGGAGAGCGTGTATATGACGATGGGGTAATTGGACCTCGTTGAGGGTATTCCCGAGATCCCTAAATTCCCAACCCTGAATTAAAGCATGGACGAGAATCGGTATGTCTCTAATTCTAATGCATCCATCCCTCTTTAGGAGCTCTGTGCACAATCTTACACTGGGGCCCCGAAACATTGCAAACCATGAAACCAAGTTGTTGGTGATGCGTCTACCTAGAAAATCTTAGAGCCTTTGGGCGCAGAAGGCTTGCATAGCTTAGCTTGGTCTTTGCTGACCCTACAGCCGTAGTTGCTCCAGGTAGTCTCCCACAAGCGTCCATGTAACGGTAGAGTTTAAACTTTGGGCGTAAAGTGCCTAAGAAGGAATCCTTTTAAGCACCAAGTAGAACCTACACAGCCTGTAGTCAACCTATAAAATTCCACACACTCTAACCCCAGTCGGCACGCCGAAGACAGCCACTTCTGATGCTGCACGTTGCGCGTGCGAAGCCGAGGAATCCCAAAAAGTGGGAAGACTTCGCGAACGCCGCAGGCCACATCAGGATAGTTGCTTGCATAGGGAGTCGCCTCGTCGCTGCCCGGCTTCAGGACTCAGGACTCTCTGTGTGCCCTGTGCCAGGCTTCCGGCAGCGGGTCAAGCGCAAGTCGCTTCCTGCTGTATCGTCGGAAACTTGTGGAGTGTGATTACCATCTTTCCCGATATTTCCCGATGGGTTCATCATCATGTGGTCAAGGTCCCAGAAGCTGAGTGATGGCCCAAGGGCAAGTGATGCAGGTCGCGGGACTCAGACACCGAATAGAACTGCATACACGGCTAGGAACTTTTTTCGCTGCGAGGATTGCAAAGGCGACCTCGCCGATCTGAGTGCGGAACAGCATCCACTCGTCCAGAGGCCGGGAGTTCATGAAGCCGCTTCGTGGAGCCACCGCTTGCGGAGTCCTCGCTGAGGGCAAAGCTCGAATGAAGGCCCAAGCCAGGTGGGCACTATGCTGACCTTCAGCTTTGGAGCTTCTCTACGCCTGGGCATGGGCAGCACAGTGTTCTCCAGGCGATCCGTGTCCTTCCTCACGTCGTCTTCGGGCTTCGACATTGAGGCCTCCAGAGTCCATCTATCTGTTCAGGCGAGTTTCCCGTGGTTTCCATGTTGTATCCAGGCACCGGCCAGCAACCGGAAGGTGCCCCAAAGAGGATATGCTGGGAATGGCAGAAGTTCCGCTTCATTCCCCGAGGTCTGCCGAGCCCTGCTTGGCGGCATCTACTGCGCAGTCTCTAAGCTTCAGTAAGCGCTGTGCGTGCTGAACTCAGGGCCGCTTTCCCGCAGAGTGTGTGCGCAGTGGACGGTTCACCCGACTACCTCTGCGGTTGATCCGGAGCGTTTCTGCTGAATGAAGCAAAACTTGGCGCAAGCTGGCGGACATGGTCATCCTCCCCTCAAGTTCAACAGTCTGCACTCACTGTTTCTGGTACCCAAAGTGGAACCTTCCAGATTGGCATACCCTAGCATTCTGATCCACTGCGTACTTCGCACAGAGCCCAACGGAGAACTCCATGTACTAGTTGATCAACGGCTTTACAGCCATGTCCTGTCCCGATGGCTTCCAGCTGGAGATCCGCGCAGAAGGGGACGTTTGCAGGGGTGAGCAGGAAGACGGCGGCTTGACTTGTTCAGGTAGCAAGTGCCTGCGCTCAACAACTAACCCTCCGGCCCTCCGGCATGCCTGGTCCCAGGCATGGGGGCGGGTTGGACTTGCCCACGAGGATGTGTACAAACAGGATCTTCGCCCTCCCGAGTATCAATGTCTGCTTTAGCCTCGACTTCTGGAGGAGCTCCGCCGTTCTGCCAGGCCCTCGGCGTCAGAGGCGTGGTAGGGGACGGCAGCGGAATGAAACGACGGCGGCTGTGCCGCTGTCCGCTGTGTCCTGCGCAGGACACTGCCTCGACTCACCATGCCGGGTTCAGGCGCCTCTGCTTCTGATCATTTCTGATGGCCATTGCATTCTGCCCGAGAGGATGTTGTGAGTTGCCTGGATCGCTACGCAAGGTTCGGCATGCTTGGGCATTTTGTAAGCTTGGCATGTTGTTTCCACAGCTCTGGCTTGTCTTGATTTCAGGTATGAGCCACTAGACTTGCCGGGAGAAGGACGAACGCAGGAGGCCAATGCAGCTCAGCCGCAAGAGGCACGACCTTCGGCTTAATTCTAACGCTACGCAGCCCGCCCCGGCTCATCAGTGGCGAGGGAACCAGAAGAATGAATGCATGAATGAAGATGGGAAGGAACGGGCCAGCCGGGGTGGGGGGTCGAAACTGTGGCCAAAAAGCGCATGTCACCAAACTTTTGGGTTGCAGGGAGGAGGATTAAATAGAGGAGTTGGGGCCTTGTAAGGCGAGTGCAAGCTTTTGAGTTCCGCAAGAGAACAGGGGGAGAGAGATAGGGAAGAGAAGGAACAAAAACACAGGAGAGGCAGGGGAGCAGGGGCGCCAGGAAGGGAAGCGGAGGAATGAATGGATGAAGATGGGAAGGAAGGAGTGCCACGGGTACTAAACTTACTAAACCTAAACAACGATTTGGGGAGCAGGGGGGGAGGGGCGGGGTTGGGCGTGAAGGATGGTTAGAAGGAAAGGTGAAATTTGTGAGAAGCGGCCAGCCGGGGCGGGGAGTCGAAAATGTGGCCAAAAAACGCACGTCACCAAACTTTTGGACTGCAGGGAGGAGTATTAGGTAGAGGGTACTTAGTTAAAGCATCAAGACGCCGGAGGCCTGTGGCCTCGGCGGATTTATGGAGCGAGCATGTCGTGCTTAGACTCAGGTGCGTGCTTGCCAGCAGCGATGTGCTAGTGTGGCCGCCTGCTCACACTTCTCTTTCTTTCGGGATGGACCGCTTTTGGCATGCTCAGACGTGACCCGAGCCCTGAGCCCCCAGAGAGTCGCGCAGGAGGTTGCCACCTCCAGGACTCGTCTGCAGGCCTTGTCCCAGACGAAGATGCTACTGGGACCATGCAGATGCCAGACGACCGCAGCCTCTAAACCACCTGGTCACCTAAGGCTTTCTGCGGCCCCCCAAGCTGTGCTTCAAGCAGCGCTTCAGAACCCGTGCCAGAGGTGCGACCGTTTAAAAGTTGAGTAAGAACGCAGAAGAAGGGTTCGGTCGCATCGATACCATCCCATATTGTGACTCGCCGACCCATCAAATCAGGAAAAGGACTGCATCTGCGATGGATCGACACCGGTCTGAGAGAGTTACGAATCCAGTTATGATTCGCAGATCACATTACAAAGCCGTATGTCGTGTTTCTATGTTTTCCAGAGGCATGCATGCCGAAGCCTCTGGATCACTACTCGTGCTGAAGTGCCTCGAGAAATGGAAACCGGCGACCTTTCAATCCTTTTGTAAAACTTTATGCAAGCTCTGCAAAGCTCAGGAAACTTATATACTGGTATTTGTTTAACGAGTATTTACCAGCTTCGCAAAGTTGAAACTCCGTGTATGCATGTCTAAAGACTGCATCGCGACGAAACGTGTATTTTGTACAGGTTTGAATGTTTCCAGTTTGCAGCACGAAAGTTCGCACAGCAGGTAGACACGCCTTTGTAAAGTTTGCAGCTTCTCCACACAAACCAAATGATCACGGACAAATTTGACTGTGAACGTAAACCCTGACCAGGTTTTATGTACAAATTTCATAAACCTTCGCTGGTTGGATACCGGGTTGGACACGTGAAGTGGAAACTGCGCAATCGCGTCATGAAGCTGATAAAGTTGTCATGTTCCCCTTCGAAGCAGTTTTCTCATACAAGTTTTGTGGTTTGCTCAAAAGGAGTGGAACACTTCATAAACGTCGCAAATCAAGTAAGCAGTAAGCCTTCTAAACTTTAGCAGACTCTCATATCTCTCATAGAGCCACCTCGCTTTATTGCATAGTTCGGCCGCGCCGTTTGAACAGTTAATGCGACGCTGCTGCCACCTTGCGGCACGTGCATGTTTGCTGTCTTTGGTGGAATCTTCCATAAGCTTTGGAAGATGCCTGGGTTCAACATGCACTGTGCCGCAAGCTGGGTCCCAGCAATCTAAGACGAAAGCATACTCTCACTGAGACTGCGTTCTTACAGTGGGGCAATATAGCACTCAAATGAACTGCTTTAGGGTGGGGTGTACATGAGTAGAAGCAGGTCTCTACACTTGTGTCTGGCTGACGGGGATTGGGCGGCAGGCCGAGTGAGGCTGGTGCTGCTCAACCTACGTCCCGACAATCTACCCTTGCTCGTCGTTGTACTTCCCAGAACTTGGTGCCGCCATTCGGCTACCTGAGCACCTTGCTTCGCCCAGTTCCCCCACGAAGCATCAATTACGGTCCAACTCTTCTGACTCCAACCATTAAGAAGGAACAATCAGTTTTCTCAACTTCAAGCAGCAAGGAAGTCTCACCCCGATTCCAAGCATTCATCTTTTCGGGCCCATGCAACCTTTCGCCATACGCAGCCTTTCGACCGTATACGGGAGTCTGACGCCATGCCGACCTCGCAGCCTAGGTCACGTGGCTGATCGACAGGAGCTCCCTGCTTGGCGCCCAGTGGTGCCGGAGGTCATAAGATCGTCTTATGCAGATGGCAACTGCTTGTAGCACGGAGCTCGCGACGGTAAGGCAAGATAAAACACATTACTCGAAGACCTGCAATAGTCGGGGTTGCAAATGTGGAAGTTGTATTGATGTCATGAGCGGAACTCCCGCTGCAGCCAGGCCGTTGCAGGTTCGTGGCTCCCACCTGCTTTCGGTCGATGGACGGCGCCAAGTCCTCGCGTGTGTAAATTGGCATCTCGGCCAACAAGTCTCGTGCAGTCTTGCAGTCTTGGGCATCAGCTTCAGTCGTCTGATGGTGCACAGTGTTAGGTGAAGGAGACGTATATCAGTAGTGGTATCACATGGTATTTATATTTTTGCCTCTAATCTTATCAGACTTGTCAGTACTGATGGGCCCGAGCATAGGTGGCCTAAAGCACTTTGGCTAAGATGCCAAAGCAGATTCGTCCAGGTACGGAGCTCACATGGAGATGCTGGTGAACAATGGGCTCAATGTGAGATCGCTCGCAGAGGTTGCCAATCATATCGTGGAGTTGAAGTTCAACTGCGTTCGCTTGCCCTACAGCCTGGACTCGCTGAATCTCAGTGCCGCCTCAATTCCACATCCTGCATCCCAACTGTGCCACAATCCAGAGCTCCAGGCGGCTCGGCAACGCTTCTTAGAGCGAATCGCAACTTGCAAGCAGTTTGTTATGAGAGGCGTCGACGCCGCTGGAAATTTTCGACTCAACGGTGCAAGCACTAACAGATGCGGGCTTGCTGGTAGTGAGCCTTGACCTGCAACTTTACCTGCTCGCGTCACGTGCAACACGTGCCCATGCGCATGAACTCATGGGGAGACCACAGGCTGAACAATCACGTGTCAAAGCGTGGTTGGTGCTGCGCGAAGAGCTCAGATGGGCTCAGAGAAACAGCGCGGGACGGCACGAGTGTGAAAGGAGAAGTGACTGAGCTGAGGACGCGTCTGATGGCGAGGGACTTTGGTACACCGATGATTTTCCAGAATCCGTTTGGTTAGACCACCTGAGCTTCCTGGCAGCTCGTTACCGCGACAATGCCAGAGTCGTTGGTTTCGATATTCGGAACGAGATACGATCTACGGAGTTTGAAACTCCAACATGGGGTGGTGGCAGCACAAATTGGGCAGAGGCAGCTTCCAAAGGGAGCAGGCGAGTCCTGGACGCGAATCCAGACATGCTACTTTTCATTTCGGGCTTGGAGCAACTTGTCTTCCATGACATATGCAGACATGGAAATCTCTCTTGCATGGGCTAGTTGTGTCGCTAATCCGTGCTCTTGATTTGTGTGGGGGCGTCCCCACCCCCTTTCTCCCCCTCCTAGAATTAGCGAACCTCGGAAATCATTCAATACATCATTGACTTATTAATCCGGTGCGGCGGCCGGGGAGTCAGCAGCCCGCCAGGAGGCAGGCAGCGGTCAGTGGCAACAGTTTCAGAAATGCGAAAAGAATTCGTACTTGCTTAGTAGTAGTTGTGGTAGTATAGTAGTAGTAGTAGT